GGGGGGGGGGGTGTTGCCTTAAAATGGCTTCTACTGTACAGCACAGTGGACTTGCCATGGTAACGGCTTCATAGTACTCCACAAGGGGGCTCCCTCTCAGCCCTCCAAAGAAACATCAGGTGATTGGCCAAGTGCAATATAAAAAAAAAAGAAACACCAGCATAGACAAGAAACTCCCAAGGAGAGGAATAGAAGATTTGTGACACTGTGCGAGAGACAGTACAACAACGTAAGTCCCGACTACAGGATTTTCCTGTCTAATACAGGATTGGGATAAATAAATACCCAGGCAATGCCAGGTCATCTGCTAGTAGAACATAAAAACCCTACATACCTGGCTGTTCTCCCAACTCTGTGAATATATGTATTTGCATCTTCTGGACAGTCAACCTGGATGACCCAGTTCACAGCAGGGAAGTCTGTAAAGAAATCATTTGAAATTCAGTCACATACAAACACTTTCTATGTTAGCACTGTAATTCCATATGAAATTTGCACTCCAGCTCTATTTTAATGGCACTGTGTTGAAAGAGACTGCTCACAAAGTACAATTAATCACACATTCTAGTTACATGTATCTGTCAGATGGAACTAAAATTAATAGAAGCTTAATTTCCTAAATAATGAAAGGGAGCATAATTTTAAACTTGGTATGGAGAGAGAAATCATTTGTATTTTACAAATTGAAAAGTAGAACTGGCCATTTATGATTTTAAACCAGAAATCTGCAATGCTTATATAGCTCAGAAGTAATTCAATTTGTATTTCGGCTAACTTTTTAATATTTCTAATACAGTATTTCCCTTTTAAGGTTTTGTCTAGTCTCTGTTCTTCTCCTCCTGCTTATTCCCTTTCTTATTATGCTCTCCTCCCCGGCCCCCATCTCTCTATATATGATAGTTATGCTAGAAGCTGGTGAATGAAGATAATGGCCCATTAAACTGAAGACCAGCAATTTTATTAAACCCCACTTTATATCAATCAGATCTTGTACATTCAAAATTCAAGAAAGGCACAAGTATACATTCACATTGGAGAAGATACAGCTTCAAGGAAGTGCTGAACCAGAGAAGGAAAATTTAATTGAAGATTCCCTTATCAATACTTGATCTCTAGCCCCAGATATCAAAGGCATTGTACATATCTTATTTGAATGCCAATTATTTGCCCCAGCCAGGGCCAGTATTTAGAATCTTTATTTGACTAAAGTGCCTATTAGAATCTCAACAAGAGGGTGTCAATAAATATAGAGCCACCCAGCAGAATTACCAAGTTTATAATTAAAGCTATTCATCCGAGAGCCCATTACATAGAACAGATTGAGGTCACATGCACAGTAAAGGTGATGCACTTATCTGCATTTTCTTTGTTCCATACTTTATATTTTATGCCTACTTTATCCTTCTGTTCAGTTTACACTCTGCTGTCTCTTGATATGATCAATAAACTAATTAACTATACTTAATAGTTGTCACTAGGTAATTCTGATCATCCTGACCAGAGATTATAGAAACTGAAGTCCATTGTCACATGGGGATGCAAGATTGGAATAATCAACAAATGCAAATACTAAACCTATAGAAATGTGGACAAGGTGCTATTTGAATTAGGGAACATATGGTTCTGTTCTTTCCTAGTTCCTCGTCTTCCTCCTCTCGCTTAGCTGGCCTGCTGGATTCTCACCTGGATCTTAATTTAGCTGGGAATTAAACTAATCTCATTCCTGAGCTACAGCAGGACTTGAAGCAATAGGGACATGACTGTGGAAGAAGAAGCAGGAGGGGATACAAGCAATGACAAGATAAAGACTAGCATCTCAGGTCTGCTGCTGGAGAACATGACAGGATGGGGTCCTTCAGGCATTTAGCTTGGCTGCCTGTTTCTGCAACCTCAAAGAGCCATTTGGATCCGTTTTCCACAGAAAACAAAATACCGGGATCTCTCTCTTTCTCTCAGTATCTTTCTCTCTCTCTCTCTCTCTCTCTTTCTCATCTCTCTCTTTCCTCTCTCTCTCATCTCTCTCTCTCTCTCTCTCTCTCTCATCTCTCTCAGCCAGGCCAGCCAGTTTTGGGGCGGAGAGGAAGTTGCATGTCTCCCAGTTGCGCAGCACCAAAAAGGAAGAAACGCCTGCGAGACCTAGCAAGAGATGAAACTTCGCTCCCGCTCTGGAATATGGAGGCAAATCTCCATCCCCCGTCCTTCCCTTCTCAGGCAAAGAGTGAGTGGGAGGGGTGGGTGAGGGCTGGGGCCAGCCAGTGGTGGATTCAGCTGACCGGAAGCCACAGCAGGGAGAAGAGATGCCAACAACCATTGTTTCAGGCTGCCTGTGCTGCTACCCCCAGCCCCCTCTCCCTTGCCGCAACAGCCCCATTACCTCATTCCATCCACCGAGGGCTGTGCTACTCCTTGCAGCTTGCACCTCCTGCAAAGTTGCAAGTTGCACATGCCTCCCTCTATGGTGATTTCCAGTCCCACCACAAGCTGCCTGGACAGTCCCATAATCCAGAGCTCTACTCACAGGACTGGCCCATTGCTCATCCCGGAGCAGCTGCTCCACCCGGGTGCATCACGGACCATCAAAATTTTCCCACGGACCACCAGTGGCCCATGGACCACCAGTTGGGGACCCCTAAATTAGACAACTCCCCTGGATGTGAAGGAATGCACAACTATTTACCTAGCCCACGAGCTGCAAGATCCGTAGCGAAAAGAACTGCAGATTTCTTACGCAAAAAATCTTGGTAAACTTCCATTCTTTTCATCTGCTGCTGTTTGCCATGAAGAGCCAGTATAGGGAGTCCCGGTCGAAGGCGACAAAATACTCTAAACAAATACTGAACCTAGAAACCAATCATAATTTTAATACTAAATTCTATGAGCAAGACCAGTTGACGGTACGTATCTATTATATTGTAGGCCAGCACTGCCTAACCAGCCTTGGCTGAGGTAGATAAGCTAAACAGGATCAAAGCTGGTTTAACAATACCATGGAAGAAAAAACCCAGGGCGGTGGGCTAGATTGGGATGTTAAAAGATATCCCAAAAGACATATAATTGAATGCTTAGGAAGAAGCAGCTTTCTCTAGTCTTTAGTACTAGTTTAAAACAGATGGAAGAGCCACTTCTGTTACCTCAGCTAGCTAGACATAGGGATACAAAGGTTTGCAAATGGAAAAGGCCAGAGATCTGCAAAATGGGAAAAAAAATCAGAGGAAAGGCATGCTAAGTTGTCATGTCTCCCGGGGGAAAAAGAGAAAAATATCCTTTCCTTCTAGAACTTTCATATCATCTTTATCATGCAGCAATTTTCACAAAATTACCATGGGAGTTAAAACCAAATCACTACGTTTCCTAAAAGCGAATGCTATGGAAAACCCAGGAGCATGATTAGAATTTACAATTCTGAAATCTCATGAAGTCTCATTTAATTCAGCTAATCTATCTGTTTCTGCCCCTGAACATACCTTCTTTCATCAATTTCACAGCAACTTGCACGGGAATCAATTGCCAGGCCTTTTGTAACCATAATCTTTTCAGATACTGACAGATTTATAGCTACACCCAACAGAGTTGTTGTTTTAAATTTCGTGATATCTCAAAAAAGGATCTCACGACAATTTAGATGGGAGTTATTTCCAAAATAATAACCTTTTTAAAAATAAACCCCACCCTTTGATCTAAAGGCATGTCATTTTTAAGTGAAGTGCTTATTTAAAACTACACTTACAAGGCACCTAATAAGGAAAAACATCTTCCTTTCCTCTCATAGAATAAAATGCTTGGATGATAATGTTTAGTATGATGTGTTTGGTCCACTTATAAATAAAGCATACATTTCATTGAATACAATACAAAGATATCTGAAGAAGTCCAGTTGGAGTATTTGCCTCTACCTTCATTCGAAATTTCTCTTTGCTTGGATACTTAACTGCTAACGTCTATAAAGCTGTTTTGACAAATAATGTGACTAGGTTATAGTCCTGACAGTGCTCTCCAGCCTCAGGATTCAGCAGCAAAACAATGTATGTGCTTTTATCTGCTTTGCCTGTTTTACAATATTCTAACTTTCTGATTACACATGTTCTTGGACTTACAACCACAATTGAGCCCAAAACTTCTGTTGCTAAGAGAGACAGCTGTTAAGTGAGCTTTGCCCCATTTGGTGATCTTTCTTGCCACAGTTGTTAAGTGAATCACTGCATTTGTTAAGTTAGTAACATGGTTGTTAACTGAATCTGGCTTTCTCACTGACTTTGCTTGTCAGAAGGTCGCAAAAGGTGATCACATAACCCCGGACATAAGTATGAGTCAGTTGCCAACCGTCTGAATTTTGATCACATGACCATGGAAATGCCTCAATGATCATAAGTGTGAAAAACATCATAAGTCGCTTTTTTCAGTGCCCATTGATAACTTTGAACAGTCAGTAAACGAACTGTTGTAAGTCGAGGATTACTTTTACCGTAGAATAGATAATTTATGATACAACACCCTGCACGATTCTTATCCATTTGATTTTTATAAATTATAATTAACACTCTTCTTTATAAATTGTAGGATATGGGATTATAACAATACCTCTTTGCAGCTTGCAAAAAATACAATACTCTTCTTATTCAGGTGACTCCTCAGAAAAGAGTACAACATATTGACTTTCTGGTACAGTTCACAAACAATGTAGTTCTGTTCCAAGGTTGCTGGAGTACTAAAAGAACCAGAAAAGGATAAATAGACAACAGATAAAAACATCATGGGAGGGGAAGAAAAGCAATGAAAAACAAACAATATATGTAAACGTGTCTCAAAGTATTATTTAAGTAAAACCAGATCCACAATTTTATCCAAGCAAGGAGGCATCCTTTATTTTTTTACGGCATTTGCAAGAGATGACCATATTCTCAAAATGAATAACTAGGGCCAAGGTAAAATATCAAAGTCACTTTGTTTAGTTACATTTGCCATTTCAGTGTAATTGAAATTACATATACCATATTTTTTGCCCCATAAGATGCACTTTTCCCCCCCAAAAAAGTGGGTGGAAATGTTTGTGCATCTTTTGGAGCGAATACTGCATCATAGACTGGGCCATGGTGACAGGCAGCAGCGGCGAACAGTGGCAGCGATCCCTGCCACCTGGATCAGCTGATCGGCGGTATTCCAGGAGACCTATCTAATCACCTATCAGCTACTCGGCAGCAAAGGTTCCAGTGTTCCCTGGCGGAGGCAGCAATTTTTTTTTCTTGCTTTCCTCCTCTAAACCTAGGTGTGACTTATGGTCAGATGCGTCTCATAGTGTGAAAAATATGGCAGTCCTTCGAATCACTGATGCCAGGTTTTTTTAGTAACCACCTCTCCCTACTTACATCAAGGAGAGTCATGCTGCAAATCCTGCCTAGTACATACTCCATCCAGCAGAAGCCAGATGGTGTACCTTTTCTGCTGTGATTTCCACTTTGAAACATCATCTCCCCTGAGATAAAGTTAGCCCCATCATTGTTAGCCTTAAAACATGGTTCTTTCATCAACCTTGGAGATCCCACGTGGAGCTTGCAAGGCGGCACTATCTTGTTTCTTTTATATTTATGTTTGAGCTAGGGGTTAGCTAATTAGGGGTTTTTAATTATTACATTTGCATGCCACCCTGAGATGAGCAACTATATTAATTTGCTAAATAAATAAATACAATATAGACATTCAGACTCTCAACCACTTTTCTCCAGTTATGCATTGCCATATTAATCCTACATTGTGTTCCTGTTCTTCTGGAGGCATATCTGGAATCTTAAAAGGCATTTTGTCAGAACTACTCCAAATTAATTCTATGGAGATCATGGGTGAAACGGGGACTGTGAATTCTCAAGATGGTTGTTATAGTTGATACAATTAATCAAAAACACTGCCCAGAAGTTGTTTCCTGTTCATTTAGTTTTGCTTCTTCTTATTCTCCATAACATGCAGTTCCAATTTCACGCAAAACCACTGAATTAGCCCTATCTTCCATATAAAGTGTGTAGGTCAATAACAATTTTGCAACTGGGAATCCAGGCCAAGATGATGCCTGAGACTGGAAGGAAAATCATGCGAACGGAAAAGTCAGGGAATTCCTTTTCCACCTCAAGGAGGACTTCCACCTCAAGTTCTGAGGTGTTTATTTGAACTCCAGGTAATCCTTGCTTAACAACAATTGGGACCAGCAACTTGGTTGCTTAGCACCAGTTGCTAAGTGAAAAAAAATCACATGATCAATGATAGGTTCATGACCTTACTTTCCTATGACTTAATGATTTTGCTTCTCTATTAGCTCTGCTTGTCACAAAGAGGTTACAAAGGATCCAAATAATGATCAGCTGACTGTGGCATACTGTGATGGCTGTAAATGCAAGGATTGGTTGCAAAGCTTTTTTTTTTTTTAACCCACACCATTATAACTTCAAATGAAGCAGCTGGTAAGGTATTTTAGATCTCAACTTTACAGTTTTCACTAGGTTTCGGCTTCAAAATGGCAAAGAACCTGGAGCCCCCCAAAAAGGGAATAAGTGGCAATTGCTGTTCCTCTAATCCAGGCGAAGTTAAGAGCAGGGAAGCAAAAATATAACTTGTTCATCCCAGAAATCAGTCCCTCTTGCAGGACAAGCCATAAGGTCAGCGTTCACAAGACCTATGGAACTTGAAAAAGCTTGCAAGCTTGCAAAATTTGCTTGAGTTGTAATCCTAAAAATACATGCATGGAACCCTGTTGTCTGCCACTTTTTAATTCAACTACTGGAAGCTATCTAGTAACTGGGCATCAGTTATAGACCAAGTTGTCTGATCACCCCAGACCTTTGAGAAATAAAGGCTTAGAGATCAAATCAAAAATTTCTTGGGCAGCTCCCAACAGTCGCACTGTTAGTCGGTCTTGTCTCTTTTAAATCAACTATTTTATACACTTACTTTAGCTTGCAGCTCTCTGCCTCAAGGTCCAAACGTTATACATTGCAATGATTTCTTGTACACACGGTTGTTGAAATGATAAGCAAGCATTGAAACAAGGAATTCTACAGACACCCAATGATTAATCCAAATTAAATCTTCTTTTCCTAGATGTGCCTACTCCAGTTTATTGGCCTGCTTTATTCTAAGCCCAAGACTGGAAACTCTCAGACCATACCAGGCCACAACCAAGTTCAGAATAGAGAAAAACAATACAGTACCCAAAACACACATATTTCTTTGCAAACTAATAAACTGAACTCGAACCTGAACTTTGCTTTTTCATGCACCCAGATGTATTCTGGATCCTTCAAGCTCAACCGAGCAAGGTCTTTCACAGATTTGGTCTGTGTAGCTGAGAAAAGCAAGGTCTGCCGTTTTTTAGGAAGATTCTCTATAATTGCATTCATGGTATCGGCGAAGCCCATGTCCAGAATTCTATCAGCTTCATCAAGGACTGGAATGAGAACAGCAAATTGGGGGAAATCAGACTTAGAACAATTTTATTGGACAGATCATATTGGCACAAACTAGTGAAAACCGATTCTGAAAGTTCCCGCAGTTTTCACCTGATTAAAAAGTAAAAGTTCCTGCTTTCCCCAAACAATTAGTCACATTGTCCAATCAAGGTGCTGGCTGGTTGCCTGGTTACTGTGCTCCTCCTCTCTCCAGCCACCTGTTGGAATGTCCTTGGTTCCCACAGGAAACTATTTTGTTTTGGCTACAAACCTCCCATCTAACTATGTTCCCCTTCCCTATCCCTTCTTCACATTGTGGCAACCCTGAAGCCTCCAAAATAGCCCCAGACAGGTTCGCTTCAGAGTTAACAGTAGTTAACACTACATATCACCCAAATGTGCTGATGTGGTTGTAGACATCTAATATGTCCTATCCCATATGGACATAACACCACACTCTTATGCATATCTATTGCTATTCTTAACTCCATGCAACCTCCTGCACAATTCTTTTAATTTTAAAACATTAAGACATTTAGGGGTCTCGTACAGGAAGTTTGAACAAGTACAGTATATCCCTTTCTTCCATTTGAAGGAATATCCTCTGCATGCTGTGAATTGCCCAGAACAACATTTATGCATCAGTTCCATAAGAAGTTTAAGGTTAGAAGGCAGCAGCGTTCCTATTAAGGTTTCAAGCAAAGCTCTGAATCAGAATTCACACTGAACAGAGCCAGAATCAGAGAATCCCAGCAAATATTTTATACTTACTCAGCACTTGAAGATTAGAGGCATGGAAATACGAGGTTTCATCCATATGTTGTAAAAGACGACCAGGTGTACAAATGAGGATATTCATATTATGGATTTTGTCTGATTCTTGTTTCAAGTCCTGAAAAAGCAGGTTGGTTGAGAATTTAGGATGGCTCATCTGAAATCATTCTGCAGAATTTTTGTTCTGATCTGGGGAGGGCAGGTTCATGTATACCCTTAGCACACATCTAAACCTACTGTGCCAACAAATATCACTCAAATATTCTAACTGCCCCCCAAACAATAATTGCTTAAAAGAAGAGCCTACCTTTCCGCCAATGATCAGACCTGCAGAAAATTCATGATTCTTCCCCACTTTACGCAGGACTTCAAATGTCTGGTAAGCCAATTCTCTGGTAGGAGATATTATCAAAACACCCAGTTCATCCATGGCAGTCCACTGTTGTCGGTATAAAATTTCTAGAGCCTGAAGAGTTAAAAAACCACTAGTTAGAAAGTCCATCACACGCTCTCCTGGAGTACGTTTTCAATATTAATCTGAACCAGTTACAACGTTCCCTTCTAAGGCAAACCTTTGAAGCAATGACTCCCTTCAAGCATCTCTGCGCAGAAACTCTCCTTCCCAAGCAACAGGGCTTCTGATTTCTAAACAGCCCTGCAGCCACATCACTTTGCTGGAGCAAAGGGGCCTCAGCACATGGACTATGCATCCATAGATATCGATTTCCAGTGAAGAGATGTTCAAGACATGCTTCTTGTGCACTGAAACACTCATCAAATGAAATGGCATAGCTCCTGCAGCTTGAAAGGCAGAACGTATCAATCTGCCCAGTGCAATCTCTTGTTGAAGGAAAATACACCTGCCTGACCATTTATTGTATTTGTTTGTTTAGCAAATTTATGTGGGCTCACAAAACCCTCACAAAGAACTACTCCAGGCAGCATAAAATAATTAGTTTTAAAAAAATTGACTTATGACTAAATTTGGGTTATAAGTCATTGCCGTTTGAGTCACCATGTGACCGGATCGTATTTTACGACCGTTTTTATGGCGCACATTAAGCAAGTCACTGCCGTTAAGCAAATGATGCAGCTCTTAAACAAATCACATGATCATCAGTCCAAATCCATCTTATCCAATGGGCATCTTTTTTTTTGCTGAAAAACAGCAAAAGTCATGTGCTGGGTAGATGCTGCAACTACTCATAAATGCAAGCTGGTTGCCAAGCACAAGAATTGTGATCACATGACCAAGGGGGTAGAGCAGCAGTCATTACTTCGAGGATGCGTCCTACATAATTTTTTTCAAGCTCACTGTAATTTCAACAGTCATTAAGTGACCAGTCATGAATCAAGGACTACCTATATATAAGAACAGTCATGGTTGAAATATACAAAATAGTATGTTAACCTCAATATTTCACTAGTCCCCTTGGGCACCCTGATGACAAAGTCAGCTCTTACATAATTTCTGAGACATTAACAGGAATGGATCTACCCTGACTTTGGGCACCATGGTTAAGGCTCATCTCCTGGGACGGAGTATAGTTCCCTAGTAGACCAAACTCACAGCATGTCTACAACATCTCCCCTCTACATGATATGATGGGGTGGGCAGTCCCTCAGATAGGCCAGTTCCGTGCCATTATATAGGCTTTAAAGGCTGAAACCAGCGTCTTGATTTGGTCCTGGAAACAAATTGGCAGCCAATGGAGCTTGTGGAGCAGAGGTGTAACATGTGTTGTTTTAGAAACAAGCAAAACTTTCCATATCACTGTTTTCTGCACCAGCTGAAGGGTCTGAAATTTTTCAAGGGTAAGCCCATGTTGGAGTGCATTGCTGTAGTCCAATCAGGAGATTTTTAGGGAGATTCTGGTCACTACTACACTGTATTGCATTATCACTACACTAATCTAGGAAGGTCTAAGCTGTTTTATAATTCCCGCTAAATGTCTGGCGCTAAGCTTATCAAACAAACACTACAACATATCATTTTATAATCTTGATGCTTTAATCTTAGTAAAAATAAAGATGAAAGTTCCCCTGCTAGCCGTTCCCGACTCTAGGGGGTGATGCTAATCTCCGTTTCAAAGCCGAAGAGCCAGCGCTGTCCAAAGACGTCTCCATGGTCATGTAGTCGGCATGACTAAACACCAAAGGCTCACGAAACGCTGTTACCTTCCCACCAAAGGTGGTCCCTATTTTTCTACTTGCATTTTTACATGCTTTTGAACTGCTAGGTTGGCAGAAGCTGGGATAAGTAACGGGAGCTCACTCTGTTACGTGGCGCTAGGGATTCGAACCATCAAACTGCCGACCTTTCTGATCAACAAGCTCAGTATCTTAGCCACTGAGCCACCACGTCCCTATTTTTAATATTTAATTTAATATTAATTATTTAATAATTATTATTTAGCCTTTATTCCTTCTGAAGTCAGTAAAATGTAAAGTGTTGCAGGGTAGTATATATGCTTAAATGCTATTGGTATTGTTATTTGAGTAAGGGTTTCTGTTAGAACAACCTTCCCCAACTCTGTAGGTAGGCTGGATTATAATTTCCATAACTGTGTTGCCTGTCCTACCTCAGAATCACAGATCCCACAGTTAACAAGGTCTGGAATAGCTGAATAATTAATTCTTACTTGCCAGAGCCTTCCTTATCCTAGGCCATGGGTGCCAAACTCGTGATCACGTTGCTGTCACGTGACGTTTTTCCCCTTTGCAGAGCTGGGATGGGCGTGGCCTGTGCGTGACACATGGGCCACCAATTTGACACCCACGGGCCACCAATTTGACACCCCTGTCCTAGGCAAGACAATGAATCCTTCAGTGACTCCTAACGCATCCATTAATACAAATAAGATACGTATTAGCTTATATGATGACATACAACAAGTATTTCCTTACTTACAGGTACAATAAAAGCCAAAGTTTTGCCTGATCCTGTCTTCGCAGCTCCCAGAACATCTTTACCCTGCAATGCCAAACCTATGGTCTGCTTCTGTATTTCAGTCACCATGCGATATTGAGCTTCCTGTAAACCTGATGATACACAGAAGACAAAGAATCCGTTTCAGAATGCAACAAACAAAACAGTAATTCAATTTGAGAACACTTTTATCCTTAAGGATTCCATCCCTACCTTTCAGAGTTTTCCTGGATATTGGGAAATCAGAAAATCTTGTCACTTCATTTGTATTTATCTGTATTGGAAAAAAAAATAAAACAGATCATTAAGTTTTAAAATACTAAAGAACCTGACCCTTTCTGCAAACTAGCATTATTTATAAGTATCCCATTGCAAAAGTGAATATTTTATTCACTTTTCTCTCAGGTTTGTTCTGTAGCATTAATACATTTTTTTTTTTACTGCTTCTGATGAAGTTTCAACAATAATTTGTGTGTGCCTCTCCTGTGCCACTATGATTAATATTCAATATTGGTATAATTTCATTAAACAGATTTATAACACGTGTATTATTCAAAAGCATATGTCTCAATAGGACCCCATAGGACTTTCTTCCAAATAAATCTCTAAAAGATTACAGCCATCTCCACATACTTACAGTGTGAAAGTTTTCCATACAAATAGTCCTTGACATACAACCATTCATTTAGTGACTGTTTCAAGTTACAATGGCATTGAAAAAAGTGACTTATGACCATTTTTCACACTTACAACCATTGCAGCATCCTCATGGTCATGTGAGTAAAATTTGGACACTTGCTAACTGGTTCATATTTATGATGATTGCAGTGTCCCAGGGTCATGGGATTTATTTTTATTTATTTGTTTTTTCAACTGCTTACAAGATAATAGGTATAAGTAAAAACTTAGTTATGAATACATGGATACATATAAGAAAAATAAAAGAAACAATAGGACAGGGACGGTAGGCACGTTGGCGCGCTTATGCACGCCCCCTACAGACCTCTTAGGAAAGGGGTGTGGTCAATAGTAGACAGTCTAAGGTTAAAGTTTTTGGGGTTTGGGGAAGAAACCACAGAGTCAGGTAGAGTATTCCAGACATTGACCACTCTGTTGCTGAAGTCTTATTTCCCGCAATCAAGTTTGGTGCAGTTAACCTTGAGTTTGTATCTATTGTGTGCTCTTGTGTTGTTGTGGTTGAAGCTGAAGTATTCATTGACAGGTAGGACATTGCAATGTATGATTTTATATACTATACTTAGATCGGACCAAAGTTTTCTAGGTCTAGAATTTCGAGTCTGGTGGCATAAGGTACTCTGCAATGAGTAGAGCAGGGGAGAACTCTAAATATTTCTGGACTTTCTCAACTGTGCTAATATCAGATATGTAATGTGGGTTCCAGACTGATGAGCTGTATTCGAGTATTGGTCTAGCAAATGTTTTGTATGCTCTAGTTAGTAGTGTAATATTACCAGAGAAAAAGCTACGTAAGATTAAGTTAACGACTCTTAATGCCTTTTTGGCTATGTAGTTACAGTGGGCTCTAGCACTCAGATCATTAGAGATGAGTACTCCAAGATACTTGACAGAGTTTGGATCATCAACAAGGTCTTGACTATTCAGCCTGTATTTTATTTTCTGATTTTTTTTGCCAATATGTTAAGACAGTGCATTTATTTGTTGAGATTTGAAGTTACCATTTGTTTGACCGTTCTGATACAAAGTCAAGGTCTTTTTGAAGGGTAGCAGAATTATCTGTGGTGTTGAATAGCTTTACATCATCAGTGAAGAGAACGCAGTTGCTCTTAATATGATCACAGAGATCGTTTATGTAGAATATGAAGAGAGTTGGTCCTAGAACACTGCCTTGGGGGACACCACTGTTGACGGGTACAGAATTTGATAGGATGCTCCCAATTTTGATCATTTGTTATCTGTTTATCACCTTCTGCAACCTTCTGACAAGCAAAATCAATGGGAAAGCCAGATTCACTTAACAACTGTGTTACTAACTTAACAACTGCAGTGATTCACTTAACAACTATGGCAAGAAAGGTCCTAAAATGGGGCTCAATTGTGGTCATAACTCAAGGACTACCTGTAAATAGAGGAATTAGTAGAATCTTTTATTTCCACTAGGATTCTGAGGCAACTAGAAAAATCAAGAACATAATATTTATTTATTTTTTAAATCACATTTTTTAGTCCAAACAGCAAGCTCCTATTATTTCTATTTGCCATACATTTCCCTCAACATGGTGGTGCATTTAAGGTGCTGGCTGGCACTGCAAAAGCTCAGATTCTAGTCTACCTTCAGCCATAAGAGCTCACTGGATGATTCTGGACCATTCCATCTTCAGTCCAGCCTACCTTACAGAGCTGTTAGGTCTGCCTTCATTCAAAACTCAAGAAAGAAAACTTCACTGGATTAGAGAAGAGGTACTTTTACTAAGTTTGAAATGATAGCAGTGAAAGCAAGGCAAGATCTGAATCGAAACATGCAAAAGCTACACACTGAAAATCACTCCAAATCCCTCCCCACAGGGTCCAGCACTAAGAGTCAATCAATGTCCAGAATGATGTTATGGGAAAGCTTCTCTACGGGTATTTCTTGCATCTGGAGTCTCAAGACAATTGGCCTCGATGAAGTATAAACAACTCAATTCAGCATAATTCGTGAATGCAAACCTCCCTTCCAATTCTCATGGGACTACTATACACCAGCTTGCTTCCCCAACCCAAATGTCCATGCCCCCCTCCCCGTTTCTATGGCAGCCGAGAACAAGCAAACGTCAGAAAACCATGCTAGAGATCCAGCAGGGGAAAGTAGAAGGAAGGTCTATGTGAGGTCCACTGGACTCCTGAATTAAAAGCAGGACATAAATCTAACAAACAAATAACCAGGCTATATTCCAACAATGATTTTATTTTTAAAAAAGGCAGCGAGCATCTCAGGAGATGTTTGGTTAATCCTTGCTTCACCAGCACCTTAATGAAAAGAAGACTTGAAGGTGATGCACTGATGATGTTACCTAGTTTGGGTAATGAAACATCTTCAGGAAAACAATAAAGCATAGAAAACATCAAGGACCCCTCACTTCAACTCTGAGCTACAAATATTCTCCCTTATTGATCTGGTCAGACCAGCAGAAAGAAAAAGAAAAAAAGAGAAATGTCAACAAGCAGGGGTAGAAAATCACTGACTGTCCACATGGCTTGGAAAGAGAGATAAGAATTGATGGCCAAAGACAACTGGAGCATATTCAAAAAGCAGTGTGAACTGCCATCACACCCACTGATCCTTATTTTTGGACCGATTTTGTTTGCTTGGCTGGACAAGAATGACTGAATGAAAAACAGCCTTGCCTAATCCTATTGAGAAGAAGTCCTCTATTGAGAACTTGTCCTCAGGCCGTATGCGACTCTTGGACTCATTTCAAAGTCTCCATGCCAAGGACCAGCTGGGTCCCTCTGACAACAGCACTCAGCAGCATGTTGATTTACAGTTATTTACAGAAAGCAGAACAAGGTGGGTAAGAAAGAGGAGAATGGACATCCCCACCCACTGCTTAGCATCAGCGCCAACAGAGAAGCTGTTGCTATACTGTAATGCTGGAAAATCTAAGTTGAACTTCTGACAGCCCCAGTAATTTTTCTCCCATTTCTAAAGCCCTCCTTTTCCCATTAGGTGCAACCCACTCAGTCAATGTGCAGCTCTCCAAAATGAGATGCAAGAGCATGATTGTACTTATGAACAAGAAAGCAATGCCATTTTCACATAGTTCAAGCTATTTTGCCCAAATAAGAATCTAATGTCCAATACTTGTTTGCCTAACTACAGAGACAAAAACTGATTACAGGTGGGCTATGCTTAGAATCTGTAATAAAAACAAATATATATCCTCACAGCATATTTACCTAAACATTTCCACTTCAGATTTAATATACATATAAATTAAGATTCATTGTTATAGGCTTATCAGCTTAAAGCATTTTTCTGCTGATTCAAACTTTCATCATTGGTACACAGCAGAGCCCTCAAAATGCTAGTTAGATAACAGATTTAATTTTGAAGGTGCTTAAAATAAGTTTCGCCTTCAAAGAGAGGGTCTGAAGAAAAAAATAATTTATTAACATTAAACAAATATGAAATCATGTTCCTCTTGTCCATAGGATTCAAGTAGTGATGCTTTTGGCAAGTGTTAAAAGTTACCTGGAATTTTAGGCTTTATTATTACCTTTTAAGTAAAGCTGATATCAATAATTTAGCATGGCATCCACGTCTCCTTTTGAAGTTCAGGAAACAATGTCTTCCTTTTGGAAAAGCCATTTCTTTTTTTTCCTTGCAAAAATTGGTCATTTCATAAATTAAATAATAAGGCCGTGTTTTGGAGTCTTTGAGTTTTTCAAGTGATTAAGAAACAAGTCAGATGGGAAAGGAGAAGATGCAATAAGGGTGTCTGTCTTTTCTCATATCTCAGCAAAGTTTTTATTATTGCTTTCTGACACATTACATATACTGAACGTATCACTTTTTCTGTATCCAATATAAAGACTTGAAACACACACACACACACACACACACACACACAAATACTTTTTCCACTTTTCCTGAAGTACTTGTGGTTCATACTGTTAGTGTCATTTCCCCAAATTCAGACACCAGGAGATTTTGTTTTCAGTTCCACACCAACTTGGGTAGTTGAGTTTTAAAGGAAACAAGAGAAAACTCCTGAGAATACCATGAAGAGCCAAGAAAATAAACAAGTGGATCATTAAACAGGTCAACTTACACTTCTTCCTCAAGGCACAAATGACCAGGCACAATTTGTCCTACTTCAGAAGCATTATTTGAAGACCTAGTTCTCTGGAGAAAAATCTAATGCTGGAAGGAAAGAGAAGGGGACAACTAAAAGCAAAGTGGATGGACTCAGTTACCATTGTGATGAGTGCACCATTGGAAGACCTGGAAAAATAGGTTCGGGACAGATCACCGTGAAGAAAAATCTGTGGTCGCTAGGAATCAAAAACAACTTGGTGACACATAATCCATCAAACAATAGTTTAATAGATATGACTCCCAAAATCCGAGTGAGAAAATATTTCATAAGTGATGAAAAATATTTCCAGTGAGAGACATCTAGCACAGGATCCAGCAAACTTAGTTCCTATCATGCAAACATAAGAGGCAGAGAAAAATCTTGAGCTTTAGTATACTGGATGAATCCAACCAACACAATTTTTTTCCACCACAACCTGTGAAGTTTATTAGAGTTGAATCCCTTATGTGGATGGATAGTTGGGAATTCTCTCCTCCTTATTGTCTCCACAACCAATACTGATGTGGTTCTCTCACACAATCGTTAAGCTTTTCCCCAACCTGGAATATCTAAATTACTGACACATAGTAATATGTAAGAGATACACAGTATAAGAGAGAGGCACCCCGTGTATGCTCTAAGTAGTATATAAAATCATACATTGCAATGTCCTACCGGTCAATGAATACTTCAGTTTCAACCATAACAATACAAGAGCACACAATAGATACAAACTCAAGGTAAACTGCACCAAACTTGATTGCAGGAAATATGACTTCAGCAACAGAGTGGTCAATGTCTAGAATACTCTACCTGACCTCTTCCCCAAACCCCAAAAACTTTAACCTTAGACTTTCTACTATTGACCTCACCCCTTTCCTAAGAGGTCTGTAGTGGGCGTGCATAAGTGCACCAACGTGCCTACCGTCCCTGTCCTATTGTTTCTTTTATTTTTCTTGTATGTATTCATTTCATGTATTCATAACTATGTTTATCGTTATACTTATTATCTTGTAAGCAGTTGACAAATCAAATAAATAAATAAATAAACTTTATGACTTGTGGACTGCAACTCCCAGAATTCCTTGAAGTCCACAAGTCATAAAGTTGCGAAGGTTGGAGACCCCCTACTCTAGGACACCCTTTTTTTAAAAAAAAAAAAAAATACTGAATCTTTTAGTTCTAAAATGGATCTGGGAGACAAAAGCAATCCAAGGACAAGGCAATCTCTGCCAACCAGGCACAGGCAGTGGGACAAAGCGGATTGCTGGAAGTTAAAACCCACCCCTCTCCTAGAAAAATGAAATATTTTAGGATATACTAAAAAGGCAGAATATTTTCCCTAAAAGAGAAGTAGAAACTCAGAGAGGCAGAAACTCAGTCCCACTCCCCACCTTTGTTAATGGGCCATTAAGTCCTGGGCCAGTCTATTCTACATAACAAAGTTCTACCTCCTTAGAGCCATTGAATTGCTCTTCATTGCATCACCCTCCAAGTTTCAACCAAACTTAGCACACAACCTACAAAGCTAGCTATGATTTCTGATAGCAACCGATCAGGATACTCTTCCTGTGCCCCCGGGAAGTTCAAAGCCCAGAGAGAACATAAAACCCAGGCACTCTCAGCATCTCTTCCCTTTTTCTGCCCAGGAACCCATCCTGTTCATCAATAAACCACCTTTCCAAGCAATGTCTTTTTACCCACTTGGAACTGAACACAGCAGGATATTTCTTCCAACAGGATCCTGGTTTTGCGGCTGGGACAAGCGGCCCCGAGAGGGCTTACTACCCCGCATCTCTTCTCACCTCCGAGTAGCGCCTTTCCAAGGCGGCGATCGACTCCCTCTCCACTTGCCACTCCGGTTTCTTTTGCTTGCGCTGTTCCCGCTGCTTGTCTTTGCGTTTGGCGTACCTCTTCTTCCAGCGGTCGAAGCTGCGCACCGGGTCGGCGCCCGATCCCGACGCGACGCTCCGATTCTTTTCCATCCCCTTCTCGGTGAGATTGAGGACCGGAACACGCTGCCAAAGGAAAGAAGGCGACGCCAAAGGAGCCCGGCGCATAGAGATGACATCACGGACAAAGTTCCTCCCTCTTTGAAGAAGGCGGAAGGAATCCCTCTCAGTTCCTGCTGTGAGCTGGATGATGAGCGTTTAGCCGACGGGATGGCTGCTGGATGCTGTCCCGTTGGCTTCGCGCCTTGCCTTTGTTATATTATCAAGAATAATGTTTGTTTCAGGTTCTTACTATTGGATTGTGTTGCACCAGAGCCATATAGGATCGGATTATTGTGCTCGTTGTTGTGTTGCATCTGCCTGTTGTACATGCTGTCTTGCAATACTTGTTCAGTGTTTGCGAGACTTTTTGCTTCATTGCCCAACTGAAACTTTTTTTTATTAAAACACTTTAAAAGTACTTTAAAAGTCCCTGTTCAGAAATGGGTTTGTGTGTGATTATTCGAAGAACTTTTTTATCCAAATTTGGATAATTTACCCAAGTTTGGGAAGCTCTGCATTGGTGCACTATTTTATGCTTCATTGTAGAGGGAATATAAAATACAGATAATCCTTGACTTAAACAATTATTTGTTTAGCAATCATTTGAAGTTATAACAGTACTGAACCTCACACTTATGGGACCATTGTAATATCCCCATAGAGGATTAGTAATCGGCATGTTATTTATGATGGTTGTGGTGTTCTGGGGTCACGCAACCGTCACAGGCAACTTCCAACAAGCAAAGCCATAGTTGTTATTATTACCTTTATTGTCAGAGTACAACATGTGTACAAAAACCAAGGACTATGATATAGCAACCTGAAATCAGACCAGGACTCAGAAAAGTATTTAAAGGCCAGTACTCCCCCAGACAGGCATAATCCAAAGCACACTGAAGATGTCTCCTCCAATAGGGACAAAACATTTGCAACCAAATCACCAAGCCCGGAGCTTAAAACAACATAAGCAAAGTCAATGCAGGAAGCTGGATTCGCTTAATGACTATGTGATTCACTTAACAACTAGACAGATTTGCTTAACAATGGCAGTAAAGACAGGCATAACTCATTTAACAAATGTCTTGCTTAGCAATGAATATTCTGGTCTCAATTGTGGTTCTAAGTTGAAGACTACCTATATATAATTTGAAGCACGGCTACCTTCTACAAGCTCTGCAGGCAGAAAAGTTAAGGGCTGGACCTGGATAACATTTGAATGGGAGGCCACCAGAAATAGAACGGAAAAATTAAATCATCACATTAATGTCAAACCACGTCCATATTATTACCAAGAAAACTTAATGGATGTGCCCATGTTATCAGCTGAGTTTAGCTCCAGGTAACCTTTAGCTCTTTATTGTTCACAACCAAAATGAAATATGGAAAGAAATAATATAAATGTGGCTACAGGCATTTCCAACTTTGTTACATGCTAATAACAAAGCACAGTATAAATTTGGAATGAAACAGTAATTGGTACCAGTAACGAGGAATTGTGCAACTATTATGTCATAACCTGTTTTGGAAAAATGAAGTCATTTCTTGGCTTTAGGAGTCAGTTTCAGCTGAATTCCCAGTGGGTGAATATCATGTAGACCACACCATGAAATCAATTCCATGGGATATCTATAACTATATTTTAATAGGCTATAATATAATCTTGCAAATCTAATTGTGCTGTATTCCTTCTTATAGTTCAATGAATTAGGAAGATATCTGAGCCACTGCCACATGTTACCTGGCTACTCTGTATTTAACAAATGTTTTAGTCCCTTTTGAGTTTTTCGACCTCAGCAATTTTAAGATTTTAGGAGTTGAAATCCATATATCGTAAGGTTGCTGAGGTTGAGGAACACTGGTTTAGGCAATGGAGCTTACATATCTGCATCAAGTCTTTCTTTCTTACTCTCTATATACATAAATTTAGCAAATTTGAAATGTGTGCACTTCAACTCCCAGAATTCCCTAGCCAAGGTACAGTGAAAGGGCAATGATGCCAACTGTTTGGAGTTGCCTATCACCAAGGTTAGGACTTTTGGGCAAAGGTTGGGTACTTCTTTTTAAATTTTCAATGGATTTTCTCTTTCAAAACAGTTGCAAACATCAGTATTATTTATGGCAGTTGTGTTGCTGAACCACTAAAAATGTAATTGAAAAGGGCTTCAAGTGGCGAGTTTGAGAGCTCCAAGTTGCTAAGATTCAGTCTAGAAACAAAACATGTATTGTCCTACGGAACTGTGGCCGATTTCTAGAAGAGGTAACCCTGGTTGTAATAGCAATTTACATGTATCCGTCTCAGCTGTTAACCTTTATTTTTTAACTTTAGTTCTGGTCAACCCACAATGAGGATCAATGAGTTTAATGTAGCCATTAGGTTAGACAACTAGGTAAACATTTTTGAGATCATGTAAAAACAAAAATATGACATACTCAAAGCTCATGATCTTTTGAAATCTTGTTTAAAAGAACTTGTTGTGCTTATTTTTACAGTGGTCATGCTAATTTCTATGGTCATAAACTGGATAAGAGACTTTTAACTGTTAATTCCTACAGGAATCACAGTTATCTGATAGCAAAGCTAGAGATCTCAACTAGAGATTTCAGGGCTTCCCTCCCAACTTTAATTGTGGGATGTTTTGGAAAAAATCCTGGCCATTAAAGTAGGATGAAAACATCTAAACACTAGGTAACTTAAGGTATAACTGACTCTCATGGTTTAGGTTAGTGGTAACTTTGAGAAAGGAGCTTGTTTTGAGGAGGGCAGTTGCAAAATGTTGAGGTTTCATACATAAAAGGATTGTGTTAATATCTTTAATAAAGCCAGACTAAGAAAAATAAGACACTGTTTTTTACGAGGAGATAACATAAGGGGCCCTCAGTTTATATCCAGAATTATAACAATTCCCAGATGACAGCAACTAGTCAATTTTGGCTGATCCTGAAAAACTAAGGAGAACAGGATTCAATCTGGGCCAGTCACCAGGACCAGAGGTTTAGTCTTCTGAGCTTTTGGAATTATGCTGGAGCAGAATGTGTTATGCTCCAGCATATAACTTTTATATAGTGTTGTTGCTCTCTAGCTCCATCTAGTGGCTGGAGGGACAAATAGCAAGTATATTGTTTGAAGCTGCCCATCCCATTACCCATCAGCCCGCACTCTCAATACAAGTGGCTGCTGGGAAGCCAGATTCCATTTCCTTTAACACAGGGGTCCTCAACCACCGGGCCACAGACCAGTACCAGTCCGTGGAGCACTCTGTACCGGGCCGCAAAGAAAAAAAAATTTAAAAAAAATGGCGGCTTTCTTCACCTTCGGTGAATGCTGCTGGGATCAGGGATCAAGGACACAAATGAAAGAAGGGGAGGGAGGAAGCAACCAAAGCCTGTCCTGCTCTCTGGCTCAGCGGCTTCGGTTTCCTCCCGCCTCGTTCCTCTCTCAGTCGCTCTCTCGCTGCTCCACCAGCCCAGGAAGAAACTGCTTCAAAGAAGCCGGCAGGGTGGCTTTTCCTGTCGGCGCAGCTCCCCCGAAGCGCCCGTTCACCCCCACCCCACCCGCCCGCGCGCGGTTCAATTCAGTGCCCCGTTCTGCCTGCCTGCCTGTTTGGTTGTTTGGGAGCAGCTTCGGCTGAGAATAATAACTATTCGCCTCTTTTTATCAGCCGAAGCTGCTCCGAAACGAAGAAGGCAGGCAGGCAGGCAGAACAGAGCACTGTGGATTGAACCGTGTGCGGGCGGGCAGGGTGGGGGTAAACGGGCGCTTCAGAGGAGCTGCGGCGACAGGAAAAGCCACCACCACCCCGCTTCTTTGAAGCAGTTTCTTCCTGGGCTGGTGGAGCAGCGAGAGAGCGACTGAGAGAGGAATGAGGCAGACACCTGAGGGAGGGAGGGAGACACCTGAGGGATGGGGCTGAGGGAGGCAGGGCCGAGGCGCTCCCTGAACTTGGTGGTTTGCTGGCAGACGTTTTATTACCCGACTAGGTAACAACATCAGATGTTACCTAGTCAGGTAATGAAACGTCTGCAAGCAAACCACCAAACTCGGATTCTTCCCCCCACCCCACCCCCGGTCCTTGAAAAAGTGTTTGTGCTTGAAACTGGTCCCTGGTACAAAAAAGGTTGGGGACCACTGCTTTAACATTTGGAGAAGGCAGAAGCACAAAGAAGGATCCATCTTAATCTGTGGCACATGGTCATCCAAGGACAAATCCACATCCAACTCACAGAGCATCGCTGGGGACATTTAAATTGCTTGTATTTATTAATTGTTATGTTCAGCAGTAACTTAATACTGTCTATCTTGTATCTGGTTCTCATTGTATGTATCCCTATTTTTCCCAGTTTCACCATAACCTGTTCTTTTAATAAAGCATTCAGATCTATGCACACGGTCTGTTTTGTTGGAGGATAGGTGGGTTTAGCTGCATGTTGAGCTGCATACAAACTAACGTGTAGTGAGGACAGAACAGAATGTGCATTCCGACAGAGAGTAGTTCCCTGAGGATGGGCTCCAGCACAAGTCTGAAAGATCAGAAAACTAAACTTCTGGTCCCAGTTATCTGAAACATTGTCCTGGGACACGTGTATTTGCCTTCATTTCTAAGAAAAACACAAGAAGAAATCCTAGACCAATAGACCAGAGACTATAAAGTAAAATAAAAATCTCCCCACAAGATTATTTTATTTGCTTATTAAATTTCTGCACCCGCCTATCTCACCTAACTACGGGCAGTTTATAACAACATAATAAAATAGTATAAAAACATCACATGACATGATGATGAATATGGAGATGGTGATGTTGCCAGGAAAATAACTTGGACATGTCAGTGTACAGTAGTCATCAGGAATCAAGCTGAATTTGAGGGAGACTTTTCTAAAGTTAGTAATGAAAAGAACGTAAGTTCTAGATAAATATGGAAGCATTGTTTTTATATATGTAACAGGATAATATACATTTAGCAATAGTCCATCTGGCATATGGTTCAGCTGTGAATAAAAGAAAAAAAAACATCGCAAAGTAAGGCATATTTAATTCCCAAGCTAAAGGCAACAA